TTTTTTTTTCTGTGGTTGCATTAATTTGTGAGCATGTTATATTGCTGTTCGCAGCCACGTTGAAGCTCCTCCTGTTTTCGAGGATCCTAATTCGTTGAACCAGGTAATTTCGAACACACAAAGATCTCTTGTTCTCTAGGGGAAAGTTACATTTTAATGCAATTTTATACGGAAATAGAAGGCTTTTGCATTAGTTCTTAACTAGGGAGTTGGATGCTTCTAGCATGCTACAACTGACTATCAATATATGGAAACTATTTATCATGACGACTTTATAAAGTAGAGAGAACTCATCTGCAACTTATAGTTCAATTGTTGTGTCTGTCTCTTCTACTCTTTCCCTTTCCGTTAATTTCCTGTTGAACTCTAGGAACATGTTTCAATTCCTCAGGATGCAATTCTGCCGCTAATTGGGGAGATTGATTTGGAGCCAAAGGAATACTGGTTTAGGGGTCAACATTACAATTATTATTATTTTTTTGGGGGTTTGGGGGATAAGTGATCAACATTACGAGCTGATAGTGGTGTAGTTGTAACTTAATGAGTCATATCTATGTTCAGTAAATTGACTATTATATGTCTTCCCTTCCAGGTTCCTTGTCCTCATATTTTTGATTCCGCTGAGAAGTACATATCTTTGATTGTTCCCGCTTACAATGAAGAAAATAGGCTTGCTGGAACTCTTGATGAAACCTTAAAGTGAGCTGAGGCTTAGCAAATTTTATTTTACTTGTTCTCTCTCTCTCTCTCTCTCTCTTCCATTTCTAATTCCAGTATTCATTTTGAGATAATTTTTTCTAGTATTTTGTATCTTCAATGGATGGTATTTTTGATTAGTTATTGGGAATATGAATTGATCTGATATGCATCATAACTTTGATCCTTTTGCTAGTTATCTTCAACAGCGTGCGGCAAAGGACAAGTCTTTCACATATGAGGTAAAATTATAGAACTTGTCTGTTTTCTGCATTTAAATGTATGAAGTTGATTGATTTTATCAGCTTCTGCATCTCAAAAAGACTTGTAGGTAAAACTGTATAAACAATAGGTTTCATCTATAAAAGGTAACTTAAATCTTGTGAAGACAAGGGCAGATAGTGGAACTGCTGCTGTTGCAGAGTGGAGGAGTATAGTGAAAGAAGTTTTTTTGAGCACCCAGTTGTGATGTGGTTATGTGTTTTGCTACTTTCTGAAAGGTTGCTTCTTGTAGTGGTGAATAAGCTATCATCATTTTATGTTTTTCTTGATGAAAGAAATGTACAAATAGAACCTTACTGCTCTGCTAATTTGGATTAGTGATTCAAAAACAGCTATTACAGTTGTAATTGCAACAAATTTTGCCAACAGTTATGCTTTTTACAAAGATAATTTTTAAGAAAACCTGTGTTAGTTATTGAGTATGACTGAGGAGTTATTCTAGACTGCCAAATCTGAAGGGAAATTGAAGCTGTCAGTCTGCTTTACCAAATCGTTCCACTTTCAAGTGTCTTTTGAATATGATTTTTACAGTACCTACCAAACAAAGTGAACTCAAGAGCAGCAGTGTTCAATTGTGGATTGGCTTTCCTGTGGTGGATGTTGATGTTAAATGGATTTCAATTAGCAGAGATTTGCATGTTCCTTTTGCTGACTAAGGGCCTGTAGTTGAGTCAAAAGTGAATCCTGGCGGAACCTTTATAGCTTGTGGCATGCAATACCCTGACTTGCTCCTGTCAGATTTATATATTTTTGGATTGTACAATGCCTCGTTCCAAAGTTCTTATTTATGAGTTAGTTTGAGGACAATGCAGTAAAAAGAAGGGAATATGATACTCTTGTCCTTTAAAGTGCTACATTGGCTTGATATTTCATGCTTTCTATATCATCCAAGTGACTCTACTCCTGTCTGGATGAATTTATGTTGGATTAGGTGATAATTGTTGATGATGGAAGTGCTGATGGAACAACAAGGGTAGCTTTTGATTATGTCAAAAGATACTTGGTAGAGAACGTTAGAGTAATTCTTCTGGGAAGGAACCATGGGAAGGGAGAAGCTATACGAAAAGTGAGTCCAATCGAGCTATCTATCCATCCTTAACTATTTATGGTGATGTTACTTCTTTTCTCTCTGTTTGTAATTTGACCTCTAGTAGCAACTGATTAAAGCTTTTTGCTTCTGTGAAAGCATTGTAAAACAGGGAATGCTGCACTCTCGTGGTGAAATTCTTCTAATGCTTGATGCTGATGGTGCAACAAAAGTAACTGACCTTGAAAAGCTTGAAAATCAGGTAGGTAGTTGGGTATGACTTCAAACAACTTGTGCTCAGTTAAATTTCTCATGTATTTATATTATTGTCTTTTGTTTCCCTATAGCTGAGTTTTTATGATATATCTAATAATAAGCCATCAGATCATTGCAGTTGCTAGGAAGGGACATGAATTTGGACAATCTATAGCTAGTGATTCAACATTAAGAATAGCAGATGTCCTAGTTGCTGCAATTGGTTCTCGTGCTCATCTCGAGGAACAGGCTCTGGCCACAGTTGAGTCTTGTTAATTTTTTTTTATGCAATGTTAATATTGTTCCATCAAATATGATTGTACAATTTCTAGGCAAGTAAAAGCTGTTTTAATTGTGCTTCAGAGGAAGTGGTACCGCAATTTTTTGATGAAGGGTTTCCACGTTGTGGTTATGTTGGCTGTTGGCTCTGGTATCCGGGATACACAGGTTAGATTATGGTCCATAAATTGATTTAAGTTTTCTCCATCTTTGTCTCTTGATTCCCTTCTCAAAATTGCAGGATTATGCTCTTCATTTAGTTTTAACTACTTGCTCTTTTGCCAGTGTGGTTTTAAGATGTTTACTAGGGCTGCTGCCCGGAAGCTTTTCACAAACATCCGTTTGAAAAGGTACTATTAGTTTTTTTCCATCTTTGACTTTAATCTGCTAACTAGGAACCTGGCTTTCTCCTTCAATTATGGTAGTAGTGCACTACCACAAGTTTTTTTATTTTTTATTTTTTTGTGCTTTGGATAACTAGCATTTCCTCTTAAAATTTTGAATAATGATTTATTGTTCCCTCTCATATTTGCTTGGTCAATTTGTGAGAAGATACAGGAAATAGATGAGAGTCAGAATGAGAGTGAGTTAGAGACATGCTTTTCAAATATTGCTGAACTTAGTAATCTAGCCTGGAACAAGACTCGATTGCAAGGCTATTGAGGCAAAGAGGACTAAAACCTCATGCTTCTAGTTTCCATTGCCATCATCATCATCATATATTGATAGTCAATGTTCCCATCTTAAATTAGTAACAATGGACTCTGGGATTTAAGGACATGATTGCTAGGCCAGCCCATTTCAGTTGCTTATGGAGTGATGCTGCATCTGTTTTGATTGAATTCAGGTTCTGTTTTCTGGATGAGTGCACAATTGTCCTGAAACATGCCCTACGCTTAGATGTCTCATAATGTAAAAGGTGATATGGTTCTTGTTTGCCTAATATAGTAATCTTTCAAGGATAGGTATTCTGAAGAAATAGGAAATTGGAAGGTGTTTATGTCTTGGTTGACGAGATTATGAATTTGTCTAAATGTAAGATGCTAAGGACAAAAGAATTGCCTTTAAGATCTGAAATGAAATTGCTTCAATGGAGGTTAAGATTAAACTCATATAGATGCATTTTGTTTGTATATCTGTACTTCTTGTTTTACCATTATACTGTTATAACTTTGATTTTTTTTCCTCTTGCCTTCTCTTTTGCAAGTCTGACTTTTCCCATGCGGTAGCTAAATTACAATTTCTATTACAGGTGGTGTTTTGATGTGGAATTGGTCTACTTGTGCAATACATTTCATATCCCAATGGTCGAGATATCTGTAAATTGGTCCGAAATTCCGGGATCAAAGATTAACATGACAAGTATTCCCAACATGTTATGGGAGATGGGACTGATGTCTTTGGGGTATAGATCTGGTATTTGGAAGATCTATGGCTGAGTTTGCAGCCTGGGATAGATGCATCAGGGAGTTGTAGTATGAGTATCTCATATCTTAAACTCAGAAGAGAAAGGCTTACTCGGACATACGTAAGTAGGTAGCTGGAGGTCTTGCTTTTCTTACGTCATAGGTTTTTGCAAAGTGATCTGATCAAATTTGATATAAAACTAACTGATTAGCACTCAGATTTGTCTTTTTCTTTTCTTTTCTTTTCTTTTTAAATTGATTTTACTCTGGGATAACTCGCGAGGGATAACAACGGAGTTTTGTATGGACTGGGGCAATGTTGGGGCCAAGCAAGAGTGCTCCCCTGTTGTTTCTGAAAATCCATTGTATGCCATACTAGTAGCGCTATTTGCTTGAAGTCCATTATACGTCATACTTGTGACATGTGCTCTCGTTCTTTTAAAAGAAATATTGCCCTTGATTCCATTGGACATGACATTTTTGGCTAGGCCGCAAGCGATTGTAGATGCAATTTTCACCAAAAACAGAAAAAGGGAAAAAGGCTGGTAGAGTAAGCTTAAAGAGCGATTGGCAACTATATCAATGGTTCTTACTTCGCAAGACCGCCCATGGAACGATTGAAGGAGGGGAAAGAATTTGAGGTGAATAAGGTACTAGTGATGCTAGCCGGCAGCCGCTACGTTTCCTTCGTAAGCCTATTGTCCTGGAAGGTTAAAAGATAGTGGCAAGCGAAACTGGAGTACGTGGCATATGTTGCTTTCTTCAAAATGCGGAAAATTTAGGTAAACGAATCCGGATGGTTCGATTTTTCACGGTTATGTTCTACGTGCAAATTAGACTATTCACGCGCGAAAACAGGGATGACGATTTGGGAGGGTAACTTTATTGACTTGGAGCATCCATAGTAATAACCTCTACATCCTGATTAGAAAAAAAAGGTCAAAAAAAAGAGTTGCATTTACCATAAAGCGTTAGCCGGGAAGCAGACATTAACGTAAAGACAAGCCAAGCCATCGAAACTGACATATTCACTTCCAGGTTGATATGGCCGTATTTTTTCTGACAGTTATCGACAAAAGTTTAGCATTTTAAATTCTTTTCTATTGGCATAAATTTACTTGTAAAGCAACTTTATGTACCTCCGATTACATGTGCAAATCCACTTTATAGATTAGTTGATGTTAGTTAATCGTTTTTGTAATGGAGTAGTTGCATTTCATTCCATGTTACGTAAAAGACTTGAATGAGATCAATCTTTAAAGGCTCATTTCCATTACATAAATGATTCGTTAATCTTGAAAAGACCGACATGGATGGTCATTTCTTGCATGAATTCAAAAGGCAAGCGTCGTTCTTCTTCAAGGACAAAATCAAGGTTGCCCGATTGGCTCTTCTTGATGTTACACCAGCTCAACTGTATGGTTTTATTTGTATGCATCTGTAGATAATATATCTTTTTTTTTTTCTGCCGTTTTAGTCTGTTCGATTAATTTGGCTTGTCAATTTCTTTTTTTTTTGGGCTGAAAGATCGACAGAAGAAGCCACAAATGGAGATTCCTCAGCACCGGACGCACGTACGATGAGACTTATATCACGTGCTGCCTTTGAAGTTGATGATTATTGGAGAATCGTTGATGTTCTGCATAGAAGGTTTCTCCGTTGGTTGGCTAAATGATTTTGTCTGGCTTTGCATAAGCTTCACAAGTAATCATGCAGAAGTTCTTTATATAAACGAGTTCTACGCGTCTTTGATTTGATGCAGGTTGCAGAACTATGATAGACACAATTGGCGAGCGGCCTACCAGGCGATGATATTGCTGGAACACCTCCTCACGCATGGACCAGCAAGAGTTGCAGAGGAGTTTCAAGGTGATCGAGATATCATCAGAGAGATGGCAAATTTGTCTTACATAGATGAGAAGGGGTTCGTTTAATTAATCCCGTGGCTTGTTGTATAAAGCAAATAAGATATGATTATTGGAGCTATAAAATCATCTCCTATGCAGGTTCGATTGGGGATTAAGTGTGCAGAAAAAGGCTGAAAGAGTGCTGAAGCTGATCAAGGACGGGTCATTTCTCAAGGAAGAAAGAGCAAGAGAGCAAAAATTAACAGTGGGGATTAAAGGGTTTGGGAGTTTCTGTGAACGATCAATCTTAACAGATGAGAGTTCGAAATGTGCATATTCCGATAAATATTTGAGATGTCATTCTCACTTTTGTGAACGTCAAAGCACTGAAGACGCTCTGTTGGCTGCAGACGACGAAAGGATTCCAAATGCGCAGGAGATTCGTAATAGGCACAGAAATTTAACAACCGAAAACCCAGCACAAAATTCCGACGCCAACAGAACCTTTGAAGAGAATGATCATCCCTTCTACGGCAAAGAAGATCAAGCTCTAGTCTCCCTGCTTTCCTCAGGGTGAAACCTTTGCACGGTACTTCTTAAAAGGAAGTTCCTGTAAACACTATGATTTTGTAGTTGACATGTCATCTCCTTTAGTATTCTATAGCAGAATCAGAGTTGTACGATAAGATATTGTCTTATGCTTTAAAAAAGTGAAAATCAGGTTTTATCTAGAGTTAAATCAGTTCAATGTTCACGGTAGGGAAAAGTTTCGAGTGAAATCCCAATCCGAACAAACAAACAAAAACCAAGAGGCAGGGCTTCACCAGATGCACAGAGAGAGAGAGAGAGAGAGAGAGAGAGAGAGAGAGAGAGAGAGAGAGATCAGATAGAAACAGTTGAAACTTCTACATTGAACACAATAAAACAGTCGGAACATCCAGCAATCAACTCCTCGCCATCTCAAGGCTATCAACTCAGAACGAGAATCACAAGTTAAGAGAACAAAGCTAAAATATAATCTTGCAAGCTGCATATCTGACCCGCAACTAAAATATCATTCAACACTTTCCCGCAAAATTAGAAGCATTTTCTATGCACGATTGAGGGACCAGATTCATCATATTCTGACTTTGCAATCCACATCTGCAAACAAAGCAAGCAATATATTAACCAAAGAATTCCTAATTAAAGCAAACAATCATCTTGTTTTGTATGTAAGGTAACAAACCTGTTGGAAGGTGCTGAGTGATGCCAAGATGGATCCTCCAATCCAGACACTGTACTTTCTCTCAGGTGGTGCCACCACCTTGATCTTCATGCTGCTGGGAGCTAATGCTGTAATTTCTTTGCTCATCCTATCAGCAATGCCAGCAAACATTGTAGAACCACCACTGAGTACAATGTTTCCGTAAAGGTCCTTCCTTATATCAACATCACACTTCATGATGGAGTTGTAAGTGGTTTCGTGGATTCCTGCAGCTTCCATTCCAATCATTGAAGGCTGGAAGAGGACCTCAGGGCATCGGAAGCGCTCATTACCAATGGTAATCACCTGCCCATCAGGCAATTCATAGCTCTTCTCTACAGAAGAACTAGTTTTTGAAGTCTCTATCTCCTGCTCATAATCAAGTGCAATGTATGCCAGTTTTTCTTTCACATCTCTCACAATTTCCCGCTCTGCTGTGGTGGTGAAAGAGTAACCACGCTCAGTGAGGATCTTCATTAGGTGATCAGTGAGATCACGACCAGCCAAGTCAAGACGGAGGATGGCATGTGGCAAGGCATAACCCTCATAGATGGGAACGGTATGGCTGACGCCATCACCAGAGTCCAACACTATACCTGCAACAAGATCATGACAGCAAAGCATTGGTTAAACATAGAAAGAAACCACATTTGATATTCATGACCTTTTCTGAGAATTTCCTATTGACTCTAAAGCATCCAAAAGCTGGTCCCAAATAGATTTATGAGAATTCACATGATTACACTGCAAAAAATCTCTACCAAAAACATTCAAAATTATGGCATTTTCTGAGAGAGACTTTTCACAGCATATCTGGAAGGACATTAAGGAGGTATTCCACAAGCAGCACTTTCTTTTGCTATCCAGATAACATATTTGGCCTGGACTTTTTATGCTGTATATACTTTAGCGATCTATAGCAGCTAATTAGTGTATCCTATAACATATGCAGTCATGAAAATTTTCAGATTTATTTCCAGATTCCTTTTTTTTTCTTTTCACATTCTTCACTCCTTTTTTTTTTTTGGGGGGGGGGGGGAGTGGTGGTGGAGGGGTTGAGGCCTTGAGGGAGTGGTGGTGGAGGGGTTGAGGCCTTGAGGGATTGGTTGAAGACATTTAGAAACCAAAAGGTGTAAATCAAATGCTGAAAAAAAATGCTTACCTGTTGTCCGACCACTAGCATATAGGGACAGAACAGCTTGGATGGCAACATACATAGCAGGAGTGTTGAATGTCTCGAACATTATTTGAGTCATTTTTTCACGGTTAGCCTTAGGATTTAGTGGTGCTTCAGTTAAGAGGACAGGGTGCTCTTCAGGTGCCACACGAAGCTCATTGTAGAAAGTGTGATGCCATATCTTCTCCATGTCATCCCAATTGCTAACAATACCATGCTCAATTGGGTACTTAAGAGTCAAAATACCTCTCTTTGATTGAGCTTCATCACCCACGTAGGCATCTTTCTGACCCATCCCAACCATCACACCAGTGTGACGGGGGCGACCAACAATACTTGGGAATACAGCGCGTGGAGCATCATCTCCAGCAAATCCAGCCTTGAAAAATCAAAAGAGACAGTAAAAAAATCATAAAAAAAAATTGACACTGAAGATGAGGGATAGAGCACAAAAGAAGCTCAAATCACCAAGGAACAAGATCGTAAAAAGTTGGAACTCTAGTTCTGCAATAAGAAATACCAAAACAAATCCTGTAGTACCTTAACCATTCCTGTCCCATTGTCGCACACAAGTGGCTGGATATCCTCTCCTTCGGCCATCTTATGCTACCTCCTGTACAAAATCACAGCTTTCTTAAGACAGTACACTACTACCAGATATTCTTTTGTTTCCGTATTTATCTTTTCCCATTCTATAAATAAATACAAAACTATTTGAAAGAAGCAGTTTAGTAGAATAACGAAATGGTTTTATTCGACCCTCCCTCCTTTCCGTTTTGGTTCCAGTACGGTATGGGCTAGGAACTCAGGAACCTCATAAGGAGGACTGGAAATAACAGAATATAGAATATTATGCACTGGATACAATGAACTTTATCTTTTTTGCTACTTTTTTGGGAGGAAGTAGATGATCCAACGTGTCACGCACAGAAAAAATGAATAAAAATTCCTGAATTATGACATAAAAATAAAATGTGGAAACAAATATTAGAGAGTGAAAAACATAAAACAGCTCAAGTTTCAAAAAAAAAAAGAAATTTTTTTAAGAAAATAGCGATCACATCTCATCAAATACATGCAACATACAAATATACATAAAAAGAGAGGAAAAAGAGAAGAAAGAAAAGGAGTGAGCTTCAAAAGAACTGAGAAGCACATCCATGTACAATTCTGCACATAATCATCATGTAAACACGATATGCATTCGAATCAATTTTACTTTCGACATTAAAGAAAATGGCAATGAATCGAATGGCACAAGTTAGATCGGATCAAAAAGCATAAACAACACAACCGAAGGCTCACAATTATCAAAAAATTGCTCATTAATCACCCAGTCTTTCTCGAAAAGACTCAATAAAAATGCTATTAATGCACAGAACCCACATATCCTAGAACAAAAATGCAAGCAAAAGATCCATTAAAACCACAAATAGACTAGCATTTTAGCGACATGCATTTCGCATTTCACCCAAAAACTCGACGTTCCACAAATATATGCCAATCAATACTAGCATAAAAAATCTCTTAAACACCACATCACGGCGAGAAAAGGAAAAAAGAAAACATAAAAATTAATTCAGAAACTCGCTTATGCATAAGAAACGTGATCTCAGCAGGATCAATCAGAGATCAAGAGCTACACTGTACAAAAAAAGCCAGATGCAAAATGAATTAAACAACAAATGCACCGATTCAAAAGTCTAAAGATATAAAATGAGGAGCAATTGTGCAAAATGAAAGGAAATAGTATACCTTTTCGAGTGCGTAAAAGAGATGATTGAGGGCAAACGAAAAGGAGATAATAATAGAACAGAAAATGGTGGGTGGAGGAAATGGCCTCCTCCTCCTCCTCCTCCTTAGCACTGTGGATTGGGGTAAAAAAACGTACAGCTAAATGAGTTGCGCTCCCGTGTTCTCACTTGGGAACCGAGAAATTTGAGGGATTATAATGAGGAAGGGCGACGAATCTGGACCGTTGGATGGCCTCCAACAGTCTGGATGTGCGGACAGGGATGACACGTAGCGATCGTGGGGGCTATAATTTCTTCCTCCTCTTCGTGGTGTCCACTGCCGCCTCCTTTTCCGCTTTTTCTTTCATTTTTTCTCTCTTTTTCCGGTTCCCCTCAGACCCCTACCTCTCCCCCTCCCGCTCTGTACATATTAGTACCAATAGATCAATTTTTTTTTTCCTACATATTAGTTTTTGCTACTAATATCTCTTTCTATTCTAATTGTATATCCTAATTTTAATTCGGAGCTTGGAGATTATCTCCCAAAAACATTTTTTTATTTTGATTTGGACGTTGGTTTTAAGTTGACGGTGGGGAAATGATTGGGATTTAAAATGGACTAGAGACAGATGTTAGTTGAACGCGGACATGATAATGTACTACAAAATTTCTCAATTTCAAAGAGGGAAATGAGGGAGGTCAGGTGAATTTTGAGAGGCAATTGTTACGGTTTTGTTTGTGGATATTAGTCAATTTCTCCCGCAACTATTTTGCGGCTATTCACTTGCTGCGTCTATGGACCTCACATGTCCTATTTTGGAAGTGGACTCCTATCTAATGGGAGGCTCTCTCGACCCATCAAAATTTGTTGCAACCCCAAAACCAAAGCATAAATAATACTACTAGTAACAAGCACCTCAGAAACTAATCTGCCAATTCTTTTTCATCTTTAGTGGAGTAGCTTTTTCTGTGAAATAAGCAACTCTTTTTTTTTTTTTTGGACAAATGCTGCATTACAATTTACACTTACATTACTCGTACCATTCTTCACATGGGGTGGTCTTGTAAGAACTTCCCCCCATATTACCATTGGCAATCTTTTAACTTTTTTTTTTTTTTGTGTCTAGGTTTCTCAGTTTACATAACGGGGATAACAAATGGTCTTTTGACAATTTGTGAATAGTAGCATGTTTCTATATGTCATACATGCTCCTCCTATAGAATTATATAGTATAACTGCTTCTTTTGACCATGCTCAATGTGGAGAATAGATGTAATTAGACCTATTGATTCTCCGACCTCAAATGGACAGGTTGATGAGATAAAACCTATACCAACGAATAAAATATTGGCGGATAAAACTCAAACCCAACACTAAGTATATATTTCATCTCAAAGTGGTGGAACGAACGAGAAAGAAAGATCAAATTGTGGAGACAAATAGTCTTTGCGCGCTGGCATCAGGGAATGAGCTTTCCAAAGTATATAACAACCTAAAAGATAAGATGACACGTGTGATGCCTTGAAAAATTTATGCCCCTTTCTGTCACGTATATATAGTTGTCATTAATATGGAGATGCTAAA